TTATTTCAGAGACATTTTGTCTATCGTGCATATGAGGTCCGTATTGTAATAAAAACCACATGGCCCAAAATATAGATAAATATAAACAATAGAATATTGGTCTTAAAAATAACTTGCATGTTATTTTAACTTTAAACTCGAAAAAAACGATTGTTTTGCTATTTGCTATCGTGTTTTATCAAGTGATATATCATATTTTTACCTTGTGTTCCACGAGCTGTATGAGGGCCTACACCTTTTGAAATATCTGAAAGTGGCTTTCCGGAACATACCAGTTCTCCTTTCCTTTGGCAGATTTGAGCAAGTGTATACTGAACTGTATATTTTATTCCTTTTCTATTGGCAGGGCTTTCAGTTGACTCACTCTCTTGGTGGCGGTACTGGTTCTGGTATGGGCACACTTCTCATCAGCAAAATCCGTGAAGAATACCCAGATCGCATCATGAACACGTTCAGTGTTGTACCATCACCAAAAGTATCAGACACTGTTGTTGAACCATATAATGCAACCCTTTCAGTCCACCAGCTTGTTGAGAACACTGATGAAACCTACTGTATTGACAATGAAGCCCTCTACGATATCTGCTTCCGTACATTGAAACTGACCACGCCCACTTACGGTGACTTGAACCATTTAGTGTCGGCAACCATGAGTGGTGTGACCACCTGTCTGCGATTCCCTGGCCAATTAAACGCCGATCTCCGTAAATTGGCTGTCAACATGGTACCATTCCCACGTCTCCATTTCTTCATGCCTGGTTTTTCTCCATTGACCAGTCGTGGTAGCCAGCAATACCGTGCACTCACTGTACCAGAGTTAACCCAACAAATGTTCGATGCCAAGAATATGATGGCTGCTTGTGACCCACGTCATGGTCGTTATCTCACAGTGGCTGCAATCTTCCGTGGACGTATGTCAATGAAAGAAGTTGACGAGCAGATGTTGAACGTCCAGAACAAGAACAGCAGCTACTTCGTTGAATGGATCCCCAACAACGTAAAGACCGCCGTCTGTGACATCCCACCCCGTGGTCTCAAGATGTCTGCCACTTTCGTCGGCAACAGTACGGCCATCCAAGAGCTGTTCAAGCGTGTATCTGAGCAGTTCACCGCTATGTTCCGTCGTAAGGCTTTCCTGCATTGGTACACTGGTGAAGGTATGGATGAGATGGAATTCACTGAAGCCGAATCCAACATGAATGACTTGGTATCTGAATACCAACAATACCAGGATGCAACAGCTGAGGAAGAGGGTGAATTCGATGAGGAGGAAGGTGATGAACAAGAAGCTGCATAAATTCGATACCGACGTAATTAACAGTGCATTCATTTCTAATGTATAAATGTATTCTCTTGCACTATCGTTTCTACTTAGATGATTCGCAAACACATTATAGACCAAAATGATTAAATAGAAATAATAGTGCATCTTAAAATATGATACTTGTAGAAATGTGATTATGTTAGGCGTATGGGTGGACCATTAAAATCTCTGTTGACGACGGAAAAAATGGCAGAAAATGGACAGAAAAAAGAAAAAAATCAAGACACATTTCATGCAGTGGAAAGCAATTACAACAAAGTTGTCATGGAAATAGAAGTGAAGAAACAAATATGTTTTGTC